GTGTCGTCCATCATATATCAGAAGATAAGCGTCGTAGCTAATTTTCTTGAATTTATTGACACTTGAACTCTTTTTTTTAACATAAATTTTTTTTATTTTTTTTGTAATCAATTTATTGTTATATCGAACAAGTAATATTAATAACGTCACTAGCAAAGACAGCCTGACTTAAGGTCAGGAATGATTGACACAGCCAGTCACGATGAAAGGTGGCAGGAGGTGCAGCAGGTGGGCAACAGTAGCAGGTGTGCAGGTCCCCACGGACTATACCTGTATATATACTCTCTGTAACACCATCCCAACTCACACTCGAGTAGCACCCCTGGTCTTATAAGGTAAGTATCTTCCTCAAACCTTGTGATTAACAAGTTGTGACTAAAAGAGTTGCAACAGTGTTTCACTCATTATTAAAAAGGTCTTTACTACAGGGTAAGTCAGGTAATGTGTTGAAATATTTAGTTGCATCGAAAAAGAAAATTTATAGTAAGGACTGACAAAAATAAGACACTTATGAATAGGACTAATGAGTTAACGAAGGTTTAACTTACAGTACATCATACAAGGGTTATCTCTTCATTTTTGCCCCAGATGAAGGTCGTAGCATTGTTCCTCTTCGGCTTGGCCTTGGCCGCCGCCAACCCCTCCTGGGAAGAATTCAAGGTAAGGTCACCGTGAATGTCAGTTTCTTGGTCATATAAGTCATGTGTTACTTGGTTGGTGTGACTAAAATATCATGATCATACTGAGGTGGATATACTGATTTTACTGTTAACTACCAAGTATGAGAAACACCAGTGAATGTTGTGACAGCAACGAGTGTGAGCATTTTCACGACCAGACTTGACCAACACTGGCGAAGGTTATAGTACAGATATATTCTGGAAACAGTACCAGTACTTGTCGTCTCTCAGCAGCAGAGACGTAACCAATCGCCCAAACGCCTAAAGAGGCGATCAGTGGCGTAGAGAATAATGTAAAGTAAAAGTAAGATAGCATCACAACTTATAACAATTAACGTGGAAAATATATTCGAAGTTGCTCTTTAAGGAGTACATGATATATAATGGTTCATTCTAAATAACAATGTTATTTTGTGTTGGGAGTAAGAAGCTCCATATAACTTTCACACCTCTGTCATCTGGTGTTGTTGCCAACTTGTGTAGTATGGCAGGCCGTTGGTGGATGTGGTGTAGTACATGTGTGTGTTGGCTCCCACAGGGTAAGTTTGGCAGGAAGTACGTGGATTTAGAGGAGGAGCGCTACCGCCTCAACGTCTTCTTGGATAACCTTCAGTACATCGAGGAGTTCAACAAGAAGTATGAGAGGGGCGAGGTCACCTACAACCTGGCTATCAACCAGTTCAGTGACATGGTGAGTTGAAAACATTATATATTTACAACTTCATAAACTTGTCATGTATAATAACCTACAAAACGATCCATATCAGATGAGTCTTGAAGAGAAAATATGTAATCTACATTTCATACTCATGAGACGTTTCCTAACTTCTCAATTCTTTCGAGAGATTTTCGATTAACAAGCCGTAACATTCTTGTGGGGTTGCAGACCAATGAGGAATTCAATGCTGTGATGAAGGGGTACAAGAAGGGCCCTCGGCCAGCAGCCGTGTTCACCTCTACTGACGCAGCCCCTGAGTCTACGGAAGTGGATTGGCGCACCAAGGGCGCCGTAACCCCTGTCAAGGACCAGGGACAGTGTGGCTCCTGCTGGGCTTTCTCTACGGTAAGTGTTCGGGCTGCACTAGGTATGTGCTGTAATTGGTGTGAATGGGATAGGTTGTTGTTCTAAGAATCAAGATCCAATATAGTTTCTTTTTGATGTTCATCCCTCCTCCTCCTACCGTGTTACAGACCGGCGGCATTGAGGGTCAGCACTTCCTCAAGACAGGCAGACTGGTTAGCCTCTCCGAGCAGCAGCTCGTCGACTGCGCTGGCGGCAGTTACTATAACCAGGGATGTAATGGTGGCTGGGTGGAACGAGCCATTATGTACGTGAGGGACAATGGTGGCGTTGACACAGAGTCTTCCTACCCTTACGAAGCTAGGGTAAGTTAGTCAGGCACAACTGATACCCTGACTATGATATATCTATCATTTAGTGTAAATGTAAAACTTTTTAGCTTTGTGGGAAGTTTCTTTTATATATCGCTTAAAATACAAGTAATTTTAATGAATTCGCTCTGTATTTCAAGAGGGAATATCGTTAATATTCTTTTGTGTCTCCTGCCAGGATAACACCTGCCGCTTCAACTCAAACTCCATCGGAGCCACATGCACTGGCTATGTGGGCATCGCCCAGGGCAGCGAGAGCGCTCTGAAGACAGCCACCAGGGATATCGGTCCCATCTCTGTTGCTATCGATGCCTCCCACAGGAGCTTCCAGTCCTACTACACCGGTGAGTACTAGCATACTGCACACATAGTTTCACCCATCGATAGTACATATACACATGGAAATTCAATCATTTATATTTCGCAAAAATATGTTTTTTTTTTCAACTTTAAAAGCACACACAAAGATGGTATACAGTTTTGTAATACGATAAAATTGTCAAAGTATTATATAATTTACCGATATACAGTATATTTAGAACAGTCAGTTCTCATTTTCAAAATTTCACCTGACGACTAACTTAAAGGTCTGTGAGACACGAGGGATGTTAGTTTAATACTTAGTCATCTGCGATTTTATACAATAAATATAATTTTGATAAAGAGACACTTAACTTTCTTGACTGAGGTTTTAGTTTTAGTAAGAAAATGTTACTACGGGCATTGTTCCATTTACTATATTCACCAACATCAACTCACTCAGTAAGTCAACATATATACCATCCTGTACGATGTTACACAGTAAATCTCGCCAACTATGACACAACCCTCGCTTGAGAAGACAATATGCTCTTCATGGTTAACACTATTTGGTGTTACTAGAGAGGCCACATCGAGGAAATATGTTTTATGGTTCTGCCATGATAAACACAACACATATTCCGTTATCACTTTAACTCTCACCACTTGACTACTGCTACACATGTTACAAGGTTTTTTTTATATCGCAGGTGTCTACTATGAGCCCTCTTGCTCATCATCCCAGCTTGACCACGCTGTGCTGGCAGTTGGCTACGGCTCGGAAGGCGGCCAAGACTTCTGGCTCGTCAAGAACTCTTGGGCCACCAGCTGGGGTGAGAGTGGGTACATCAAGATGGCTCGCAACAGGAACAACAACTGCGGTATCGCCACCGATGCTTGCTACCCAACCGTCTAGATGTCATGGCACTGCAGACCACTATACCAGAGCGAATGGTGGCTGCTGGAGCTGCTCCGTGACATGAGACGCCTAACATGAACAGTCTACAAGGACACCTATTACATCTTATTGGTGTTGATGTATTGATATGCAGTAATACTGATGTAAATGATCATTAAATTTATTGATGAGGAAATAGTTTTATATATTACTCCAACATTATATGAAATCTTACTTTGATATTAGTAAATTGAATCATACACAGATAAACCAAAGAATCCCAAAGTTTGTAAATTTATCTTCCAGAGAAGGAGATGAGTGTAAGAGCCATACACCGTCTCGTAGAAAAATTACCTCTTCATGTATCATGATTTTATAGTCAAGGTATAAAATAAAATTTGCAGTTTTCCATTTCTTTATCAACCAATCATGCCAAATTCTGCTTTATTTTTCACGTACAATTCTCTAGTTTACACCTACTTTAATTTATAGTATGTTCTTAATATTTTTCTCTATACCTAAACTTTATCCCTCACACAAGAAGAGTTTATCACATAGTTGTAAAATATTTTATATGCCTTATAATACTATGAACAGGTAAACTTGTGTTACCTGTGGAGTCTACTCGTTTCCTCTTATTAATTCATATTCTTGGGTGAATCAGGTGAAGGCGGTGGGTGACTGATGCATATAGAGTGAACGAGGTGGGTGACTGAAGCATATAGAGTGAAGGTGGTGGGTGACTGAAACATATAGAGTGAAGGTGGTGGGTGACTGAAACATATAGAGTGAAGGTGGTGGGTGACTGAAGCATATAGAGTAAAGGTGGTGGGTGACTGAAGCATATAGAGTGAAGGTGGTGGGTGACTGAAACATATAGAGTGAAGGTGGTGGGTGACTGAAGCATATAGAGTGAACGAGGTGGGTGACTGAAGCATATAGAGTGAAGGTGGTGGGTGACTGAAACATATAGAGTGAAGGTGGTGGGTGACTGAAGCATATAGAGTGAAGGTGGTGGGTGACTGAAGCATATAGAGTGAAGGAGTTAGAGTGAGAAACGGTCTCCAACCCTTGTGGGTTCTATAGCAATGAAGACTACAACTTTACAACCCATAACTCTCACTAATATACTCTGGCAGTCCAAAATTCATAATACCAACCATTTTGTTTATTTCAGTATTATGGAATTTTCAGTGATGCAACTTAGAAATAATTAAGTTTTTGTTTTCCTGCTGTGAGAGAAAACGTTATGAAATACATTAGGAACTACAAAGCGTCACTGGAAAATATTTGACAACAATGTATTTAAGTTTATCGTGTGTGAGTGTAGTAATGGGTGTACATTCTGCAGGGCCACCTTCATCCGAGTAACCCAGCGACGTGGGTTGATATTAAATAACTTGTGGACATTACACAAGTTACTTCACATAATGTTATAATATGTGTTCTTCAGAGTATAATATATAGCTCACTTGTTCTTGATTATGATGTAAAACTGTAAGTCAATATTAATTTTATTTTTCACAATTTGAGCACAAATTAAGTCTTTTTAGAGAAATAAGAGAAATACCAGGAATCATTGTAATGAATTCCGAAGTAAACAAATATTTCGTTTTGGAAATTGCTTGGAGCTATAATAAAAATCACCATTTTCACCAAACTCTGACTTCCACACAATTTACATTTGATTCACTTTAGTAATGATGAAGGAAATTTTTATACGCAGCGAATAATTCTTGCTGAACTGTCTTTATTCTTAAAACAAAACAAAATTATTATATTTTAACATATTAACACCAACAAAGGGTAACGAGTTGATGTAGACTGTTCATGTTAGGCGTCTCATGTCACGGAGCAGCTCCAGCCGCCACCATTCGCTCTGGTATAGTGGTCTGCAGTGCCATGACATCTAGACGGTCGGGTAAGAAGCATCGGTGGCGATACCGCAGTTGTTGTTCCTGTTGCGAGCCATATTGATGTACCCATTCTCACCCCAGCTGGTGCTCCAAGAGTTCTTGACGAGCCAGAAGTCTTGGCCGCCTTCCGAGCCGTAGCCAACTGCCAGCACAGCGTGGTCAAGCTGGGATGATGAGCAAGAGGGCTCATAGTAGACACCTGCGATATAAAAAAACCTTGTAACATGTGTAGCAGTAGTCAAGTGGTGAGAGTTAAAGTGATAACGGAATATGTGTTGTGTTTATCATGGCAGAACCATAAAACATATTTCCTCGATGTGGCCTCTCGAGTAACACCAAATAGTGTTAACCATGAAGAGCATATTGTCTTCTCAAGCGAGGGTTGTGTCATATTTGGCGAGATTTACTGTGTAACATCGTACAGGATGGTATATATGTTGACTTACTGAGTGAGTTGATGTTGGTGAATATAGTAAAGGGAACAATGCCCGTAGTAACATTTTCTTACTAAAACTAAAACCTCAGTCAAGAAAGTTAAGTGTCTCTTTATAAAAAGTATGTTTATTGTATAAAATCGCAGATGACTAAGTATTAAACTAACATCCCTCGTGTCTCAGAGATGAGTTATGAAAACCATCGAATTAAACTCTAAGAAATATTATCGTGATTATAGTAACATTGAGAACATTTTGTTTTAATAGGAAATCTCATGTGTACTGTAGTTACATGTATGTATGACAACTTATGTGCACGTCTTATATGGATGGGTGAAGGCGGGTGTGCAGTGCACTAGTACTCACCGCTGCTGTAGGACTGGAAGCTCCTGTGGGAGGCATCAATGGCAACAGAGATGGGACCGATGTCCCTGGTGGCTGTCATCAGAGCGCTCTCGCTGCCCTGGGCGATGCTCACAAAGCCAGTGCATGTGGCTCCGACTGAGTTAGAGTTGAACCGGCAGGTGTTGTCCTGGCAGGAGAGCAACGCAAATACAATGATATATATTTTTCTTAAATGGAGGAGATTCATAATTTTTATTACTAAGGTTGATTGTTTAAACATGTAAAAGATGCTTTGTCCAAGTCATCCGCTCGCACTTACCCGAGCTTCGTAAGGGTAGGAAGCCTCTGTGTCAACACCACCATTGTGCTTGATGTATTTGAAAGCTTGGTTCACCCAGCCACCATTACATCCCTGGTTAAAGTAAATGCCGCCAGCGCAGTCGACGAGTTGCTGTTCTGAGAGACTCACCAGCTCCCCGTTCTTGAGGAAGTGCTGGCCCTCCAGGGAGCCGGTCTGTGTCAGGAGAGGCAGATGAGTGAGAAACAACAAAATATAATTGAGTTTCGTCAAGTGATCAATGATTTGAATAGTGTGTTCCCATCTCTCCCATCTCTCTCATCCCTCCCATCCTTCCCATCTCTCCCATCTCTCTCATCCCTCCTATCCTTCCCATCTCTCCCATCTCTCTCATCCCTCCCATCCTTCCCATCTCTCCCATGTCTCCATCCCCTGCTTTTATTGTATTATTAGCTGGGGTATCCGACGTTGTTTTTTTTTCTTCTGCCAAGTAGAGTTAACCAGAATGGATGTAGCCACAACACCCTGTCAACATGCCACAGCTCACCTCGAGGCTCACCCATTAGAATTAAAAGGGCCGCTTATAGCCTATATCCGTCATTTAAAAATCGTCGCCATGTTAAACAAAGAAATAGATAATTAGTAATTATTTTAATAATAACGAAGATAACTCTTTAAAGTAAATTTGTAGCGGCGAAAATGATACTGAAAGAGAATTAAACTTTAAGAGAGTAAGACAAGTCGGTAAGGAACTGGTCATCTTTCCATAGGTAAATTTTATGAGTAATTGAACTCACCATAAAAAACTTTTCCCGATAAAAGTGTTAATAAAAAAAATCTTCATTAAAATGAAAATAAATATAACACTAAGAAGGAACTACTACTACAGCACATACCTAGTGCAGCCCGAACACTTACCGTAGAGAAAGCCCAGCAGGAGCCACACTGTCCCTGGTCCTTGACAGGGGTTACGGCACCTTGGGTGCGCCAATCCACCTCCGTTGTCTCAGGGGCTGCGTCTGTAGAGGTGAACACTGCTACGGGCTTAGGGCGAAGAGACGTCTTGTAACCCTTCATCATGGAGTTGAACTCATCATTGGTCTGCAACCCCACAACAATTTTACAACTTGTTAATAAAAATAATTTGACCTATTTTCACTTTCTTAAATCATAACTTATATAGACATTTTCACTACATACGCAACTGTATTTTTTTAATCTTACGTATATAATGCTTTCAACTGACCATGTCACTGAACTGGTTGATAGCCAGGTTGTAGGTGACCTCGCCCCTCTCATACTTCTTGTTGAACTCCTCGATGTACTGAAGGTTATCCAAGAAGACGTTGAGGCGGTAGCGCTCCTCCTCTAAATCCACGTACTTCCTGCCAAACTTACCCTGTGGGAGCCAACACACATGTACTACACCACATCCACCAACGGCCTGCCATAATACACATGTGAGAGCTAACACACACACATGTACAAATAACAGGAAAATACAGTATCGGTCACTGGCATAGAAAGGGGTAGATGTTATGGGTCAAATTTGTATTGGGAATTTATCTTACCCACATCCACCAACTGGCACATGACACTCCAGGGATCAAGAAGTAAAGTACCATCTAACATAGATAATGGTGCTACCTTGAAGTCCTTGAAGGCAGGACTGGCGGAGGCAAGAGCCACACCGAACAGGAACAACACCGCGACCTTCATCTTCAAGAAAAGAAGATATAAAAAATAACAAGATTAGATAATTTAAAGATCAGACAAAAATCTATGATATATACACGAGATAAATGATAATAAACGTCATTATTATACTGATATTTTTAATGAATTATCTAAAAAAAATAAACCTTAAATTGCGTCATCACTTTACTCCATAAGTCAAGGTAGAGTTTTATGGAAGTTGTTATTGTGCTGTTATACACAAACACAGAGTGGAACATACCTCTTGTGACCTGAGCCCTTAGTGAGTGTGGGTAGTGGGGGTGAGGATGGGTATATATATTCAGAGAGGCCGTGGGAAGCTGTACACTTTCTGTTTTTAACTTTCTTTCTGTGTCATCTTTAACTCCTCTCAATGAAAGTCGCTGTTGACTCTTTCGCCCTGGTATATACTCTGCCAGGTTAGGTTAGGTTGAAATAGTGTTTTTCCGATGGTTTTGGATGTGTTTTGAAAAACTTCCAAGTAGGTGGATGACCGAAACGATATTTTTACCGATAGTTTCTGTCCAGGAATGTAATTGTTGTTATTAAAAGTCATAATTGCCACATCAAAATCCCTAGACACACCAGTGATGAAGGTAAGCAAGACTATATATAAACTAGTCCTCACTCTGCATATATAACACAATGTAATGGTGAGTGTTTGAAGTGTATAGGGTTAAAGATGTTAATATTGCACTGAATCTCTGGTCTTATCATCTGTATCCTGTAATCCTCAGTGAGGGTTTGATGCGATTCTCATGAGATCGTTTCTGAACCTGAGCAGAGAGCTATCATGTATCACCCAACTCCTATGGAATATCAAGATCTTGGTGTAGTACTTTTATTCGGTGGCGCCTCTCTCTTTCTCTCTCATCCGATACGTGTCACTGGAGCCTCATACAGTGAAACCCTTATCTAACGGACTACATGTGAGAGATTAATCCGTTAGAACCAAATCCGTTATATAAGAAATGTCCTTCTAACGGACTGTATGAGAGGATTTTCCGTTATATACGAATCCTCTTTTAATGGACGTGTTAGAGGTTAGTCCGTTAGATTGAAGTCCGCTATATGGAAGTTACACTATATTTTAACACCTGTGTATATTAATGAATACTTATGACAATTGTTCAATAGGTATATGAGTCAACACTAAGTAGTTAATTAGGAAAATAAAACTTGAAATACATTATTATTGACCAATTCTTCATACGAGGACTGAAAACAAAAAGAAGGCGATTCTGTTATTGTTGTGTTTTGCATTGATGTTATAATGTATTACTGAGCTTCAATAACTAAGGTCTTTAACCACGTATTCTACATTAGTAAATAAACTAGCCATCAACAATAACAAATGATTAAAATATCTTCCTGGTCTCGGCAAAAATCACCTCTGTGTACTGACTCACTGAAATTCAATTTTGTATACAACTGACGCCCGCCCTGAGATACATTGATATACTATGTAGTGACCTATGACACGTGGTGAGGTCATAATGGAATACACAACACGAACTGGACATGATTTTGGTGTTACTTGGGGAGGAAATTTTTACGAATATGACCTTAATTGAGGATGGTGGTCTTGAAACTATATATACTGTATATAAGACATTTGGGCTTCTTTTTCAAGTGTCTTTTAAATAATATGAGACAAAAATCGTAGATATGTGATGAAGGTAATTCTCTGGATTGTTCCTTTCTGTAAAAATCTTGAATATTACGGAAAAATAGACATTATTAAGTTTTCTCTAAATAACATTCCATTTTCATCATTTTTGGCTTCTTAATAATAAAATTTTACATTGTTCTAGCCTTTTAATGTCTCCTATAAATAAATATATATATATATATATATATATATATATATATATATATATATATATATATATATATATATATATATATATATATACGGAGTGTTTTATTCAAGACATCTGAAGATGTCTTGAATAAAGACGAAAGCTAAGACTCTGTTTCATTTTCCGTGTGATTTTATCAAGATTTATCTTATCCACGTTTTCATTGTGGATTTACATGAAATATATATATATATATATATATATATATATACATACATACATAAACGTTTCTATAATTGTTAAGTATAAAGATAATAAAGTTGACGTTTTCCCCCTGGGTCTGATATTTATATTCTCTTGAAAAATTAAAGAAAGAAAGAAAGAAAGAAAGAAAGAAAGAAAGAAAGAAAGAACTCTGTGGTATATAGTTCCTCATATTATAACCTTTAGACACACTGTCACCACCGACCACACTCGTCTTACTCCCCTCCCAAGTTCCACACATCCCTGAGCTCTACACCCTCGCAGCTCCCTCCTCCTCCAAACGTTCCGACGGACCTGTTTTCGTACCATCATCTGGGTCAGGCTGAGACAAAAGGCGTAAATTTACCCAAACATATCTCAAAGTATAGTAGATTATCTTTAATGATATGTGTTTTGCTTGATGATTAACCCCTTCACTAAAAGGAAGGTGTTTGGTGACGCCGGAGGATGATATTCAGCACAGAGAGACACCTCGTACCCAGAGGTTCAGTGCGTTTGATCTTTGAAGAAAATTATATCTACAATATTTTTTTCGTAAATATATCATAAACATTTTTATTGCTCTCGGTAGTATTACATCCACCACACAGGTGACATAAATATCTAAATCATTTCTTATTTACATGACTGGTAGTTTATTCTCGTGGCCCTGGAGGTAAAGTTGTGTCTTGGTTTTACCCAGATAACTGGAGCCGCCAGCTTCTCATGAGGTGATACAATCCGCACTCTGAGGTGCGCGCCAGCTGAGTAATCTGCCTCATCGTCAACATTGTCAGGGACGCTTTCTCATCACAATGGTGAGAACTGAGGCAACCAGTCAACGGGGTTTTCCCTTGTGGTGGGAAGTGCATTTTCTCTAACTGCTGGGTAGGAGGGGGGGAGACCACTCTAGGTTCCTCGGGTTCACTGTTTGGGAATATTTTGTTTTCGATCTGATCCTATATTTTGACCCAAGGATTACGAATCGAAAAGGGCAAAAAATATGCCTTCAAATAATGTTATCTACGTAATCATTAGACGTCATTCAAGGTCAAATAACAACGTTGGTTTTTACGAAGGCCAAAATTATGTCAAATGAAAGCGCTTATCAGCAAAAAGACTTTTATGTAAATAAAAAAGTAGTGGGGTCAACCTTGTGACCTCTAGATATCATTTAAAACCAACCGAGATGAAAAGAAAGCAACCCAGAAGAAACTGTCGCTCTTCAAGATTCAGACATCACTGTGCTTGACAACTCTTGTCTCGTTACACAGTGAAGGGGGAATTTGCCTCTTTTCTTCGAGTAAGAGTCTGCCACTCCTCCTCTACATCGTTAAAGAAGACCCACCTGACGGAGGAGCTCAATGGAGGAACATGAGATCCCACCTGTGTTGTCTTTATCCATACGACGCAACCAAAGCCAACTCGCTCAACACTTGATAATTATGGATCTTCTGTGTTTTGTCCTCGACTGTGCTGAACTGAAAACTTGAGATCGCTTTACTTGGTGCAGGATTAATACTTTCCCCCCAAAAAGTATCAAATGAAAGACACGAAGCCAGAGAGGAACACTTCAACGAGTTAGCGGATTAGCAAGACTTCCCCAAGGTCAGAAAACGAGTACATTTGCTGGCAGACTCTTCAAACAAAGGGGAACGTTCTGTGTTACTAACAAAGGAAAGGAATAACACCAACACTATCTCGACAACAAGGATTTCTATTTGACTTCACATGACCGTGTTGTGCATCTGGGACCAGGGCGTTGGGCGACGGAATCTTCCAACCACGAGGACGCAGATACTGTACGGGAATCATCGTGCCTCTCATCGATGACATTCAGGACCGTAACTCTATGTTGTTGTCCAGGCAGGAGATACGGACGTTTTTGTTATTATCTTGAGACAGTTCAGGTGTTTGCAGTCAATAAATCCCCAGACTGAACAATGCCTCGCCTTCAGTAGTGGGAAACATCATGGGCACTTTGGTCTGGAACGCTGCCTTGGACTACCAGTTTTCCAGGCCGTATTAGGGTGTGACATTACAAACTGATTGAGGAACAAGAGTAAACGAATATGGTGGAAAAAAATGTCAGATCCGCCCAGAAGTTACAGAAATATGTGAAGTTTTTGAATGATGATGAATTGACTATTATCGAGTGGTTTATGTCGGCTTTATGACCCTTATTTAATTGCTATTGAGGTTAATGTTCTCCGGATGAATATGTTCAGTCACAGGAGCCAGGATTAATAAATGTAATTATATCTCTGAGGCAACTGCTCCAGAGAGACGCCAATATTATTCGTTCTTATGCAACTTGTCTGAAACGTTTGGTTAAATAAACGAAGCTCAGTTTTACTCTGGTGTAATTCACTCCAAAAAGAATCATTAAAAATTTTGTGTGAGACAATATGACATAACGGACGAAGGATTTTGACAACCCTACCGAGACAACAGGAGTCACAGTGTTCATTTTGGAGAGTTACAGCTGATTTGATTTTCTGGTGATCATACAAGAGTGTGTTAGTTTATTGTTTCAAATACCGTAATGCACAGTGAAGGATGATGTGGCAGTCAACACAGGAACTAAAAGAATAGAGTTTGAGTGTAGGAAGAATCGACACAGGAACCCAAAGCTTCATCCTCACACTTCGCCGATGAGCTTCCTTGATCATTATTTTTTCAGTGAAGAAAATTTTTATCACGATGCTGGACTTACCAAAGGAGGATGAAGGGGAACTATTTTTAAACAGTGTGGAATAATCACTAAACGTCTTGGCAAGTTCCCACGATTTAAGGTCATCCATCTTTGAAGTGTGTGCCTGAGTGTACCTTAGTATAGCCTGACTTTTTCGGGAAATTCCACCACTTCAAATCAACTGACCTAATTTTTACCTGAATTTATGGTAACCAAACTCACTTGATTTTATTCTCAACAACATCTGATTAGAGTATGTGAACGATGCAGTGTTATCAACGTAAGCAATGAGTACGTGGGAGAGGTACATGCTGGGGGCCACCTAAGTGTGAATTCGTTTAAGGTGTAGAGAAACTGTAGCAAACACAACAACCACACCCTGAGTTAACGAATTGCATGATCCAGTGTTAAGGAATAGTTCGAGAAGACCGAACAATTCGCCAACTGCACTGGCTAACCATTACCCCGGAACATCCAGATTCCCAATTACTGCTGGGTGGACAGAGGCAAATGGCGTAAAGAAACTTGCTCATAGTTTCACCCTGCCCAGGGATCGAACCCGGCTTCACTCACTTGCGAGGCGAGCATGCTGACCATTACACCACAGGTCGCTACATACATACATACATACATACGTAACCTAATCTTGTACCCTGGAACTGTACTCAAGGGGTTAAACATGAAAAACAAAAACATGAAAGCACATTAAGGAGGAAAACCAATGACACCTAAATCCAAAGTTGTAAATAATACCTTAATCTAATACTACCCCCTCCCCCCCACCCCTCACCCCCCCCAACCCCCTACTTCTCCAGTTCTCATGAGGGGGCTACCACCTGCTGCTCACCTCCACCACCCTCCACCCCTCACCGCCCCAACCCCACTTCTACAGTTCTCATGAGGGGGCTACCACCTGCTGCTCACCCCCCCCACCCCTCACCCCCTAACCCTTTCTACAGTTCTCATGAGGGGCCACCTGCTGCTCACCTCCACCACCTCCACCCTCACCCCTAACCCCTTACTTCTAGTTCTCATGAGGGGCTACCACCTGCTCACCCTCCCCCCCACCCTCACCCCCTAACCCCTTACTTACAGTTCTCATGAGGGGGCTACCACCTGCTGCACACCTCCACCACCCTTTTCCTTTCCCCCGCCCCCCCCTTTACCTTCAATTGTGTTTTCCCTATTATTGTCAAGTACATCAGGATTTTCCCACGCACTGCACAAGGCTACGATGCAGTTAGACGCAAACAAACAAACAAACAAACAAACAAACAAACACTAAATTTCTTAACATCTGTTCCTAAGTGATATATTACCTGGTCCTGAAAGGTGAATAATGATTAATTGGGGGTCTTTTACAGGTGTTTTATTGTATATTATTGTCTTGTTCTTCCTCTTCTTCTTTTTGTGTTTTTCTTCTTCGTTTATCTTCCTTTTTCTAGTGGTTTTTGATGTTATTTTCTTCTTCTTCTTCTTCTGCTTCTTCTACTTTTGTTCTTGTTGTTTTTCTTCTAATTCTTGTTTCCTTTATCATTATTATCATTGTTGTTCCTTTCGTTCATCATCTTGGCATTTCTCATTTTTCTCCTGTCTTTTTCCTCTCCTTTATCACTCTCGTTCCTGTCTCCCATTCGTAACGTAGTGATAATCATAATATATCAAGCACAATCAGATACCATTACTATAGAGAATTAGATCCCTTTAATTTAGGATTGAAACCCCCATAAACAATTCGATTTTGTTCTTGACTATAAACAAGAGAATGTAATAAGGTAATGGATACATGGATAAATAAATATGATCTTAAGGGATATGGCTAAGATGGATAAGTCGTATTTCCTTGGAAATAATGTAGTTTTAGTCTTTTATGTCCAGAATTATAGCGTTTTTGAGTTCGAGAATATCAATAATTATCCAGAATTATGGTATCTTGGAGTTATAGTATTTTTCCATTTATTAATCTCCAGAATTATAACAGCTTGTGGCACTTTGTGTTTCCTATCTATAATTTTGTGGTTTCTTGAAGGTCACTATGGCAAGGCGGGGTTTACCGATCACTGATAACAACCTGACTGTTGTTTTCTTTGCTTTTGTTGTTGTTGTTTTTGTTGGTGTTATTGGTTTATTATTATTATTTTTATTATTATTATTATTATTATTATTATTATTATTATTATTATTATTATTATTATTATTATTGGGTGGTGGGTGATCAGATGGGAGTGGGTGGTGGGTGGTGGAAGGTTGTTGGTGGGTGGTGGGTGGTGGCTGGTGGGTGGTGGGTAGTGGTGCAATAGAAACTTTACAGTCGCAGATGTTGAGCTTCTCACTAAGTGCCAGCATATATACAGGTCACAACACCCTCTGACTCACACTCAGCCACCGTGAACACACCACAAGTACTACGAGGTAAACAACTAACAAATGCTCTTAATAGTTCTTAAGTTTTAAGATTTAATAATATTTAAAATTAAAATCGTTCAACTAATTTTTCTGAATTAGTAAAATGTTTAAAGTTATGTGAGTAAGTTTCTTTATCGTTATGACCAAGAGAAAAGTTTTGAATATGAGAACATAAAGTCACTATTAAGTAGATAACATGAGTAAATACTTTTATTATTAACTTAAAGGCGTAAGTAATGGCGTTTCTTGTTTGTCTCAGATGAAGGTGGCAGTATTGTTCCTGTGTGGCGTGGCTCTGGCCGCCGCCAGCCCCTCCTGGGAGCACTTCAAGGTAATGTCCTATTCAATATCGAGTTTTTCTTGGCCACTTGGACATATCAGGTATCACTTGGTATTGTAGGCAAGACTAATGATGACACACACACACACGTATAAGCTACAGTATTTACTTGTGTGGTCCTACCGGTACTTACATGTGTCGGCTCCCACAGGGCAAGTATGGCCGGCAGTACGTGGACGCCGAGGAGGACTCCTACCGCCGGGTCATATTTGAACAGAACCAGAAGTACATCGAAGAGTTCAACAAGAAGTATGAGAACGGCGAGGTCACCTTTAACCTGGCGATGAACAAGTTCGGTGACATGGTCAGTCAGTCTTCTATATGTTTAGAGTTCGTAAATTTGTCATTTTATTTGGGCAAAAGAAGTAACAATAAATTGATATAATTATACAAAAGACGACTCACGTAAATATACTTGACTTTCTTGCTGTGGGGACTAACGTTGTTATGGTGTAACAGACCCTCGAGGAGTTCAACGCTGTCATGAAGGGAAACATCCCCCGCCGTAGTGCACCTGTGAGTGTGTTCTACCCCAAGAAGGAGACAGGTCCCCAGGCCACTGAGGTTGACTGGCGCACCAAGGGCGCCGTCACCCCCGTCAAGGACCAGGGACAGTGTGGCTCCTGCTGGGCCTTCTCTACGGTAAGTGACCGGCCCGTGTGGCGGGTGATAGGTCACTGTAGTTCCAGTAAATATTCTGTTGCTGGACACAATATCGCTTTACCCGGATTTTCGCTTAATATGAACTGGATTCCCCCAATTAGTCCGGATTTCGTTTGGAAGTCATATAAACAGTTCCTTTTTTATGATATGCGTGAAGAACTTTGGAAAATAGTATTATGAAATAATAAAAAGAAGAATAGTGATAAATCAGGTCACCAGCGCCTCATGGAGAGGGTGACCACTGTTACTGACGAGGGGTGTGCTGGAGAGAGTGAATAAGTTCCACTGATGTTCATTTGTATATCTGGAGGTAAGAATTAAGACAACTTGTTTACACCCTCTGGCTTTGGCCTCCATAGACTGGCTCCCTGGAAGGTCAGCATTTCCTCAAGACCGGCAGCCTGATCAGTCTCGCCGAGCAGCAACTCGTCGACTGTTCCCGCCCCTACGGCCCCCAAGGATGTAATGGTGGCTGGATGAACGATGCCTTCGACTACATCAAGGCCAATAACGGCATCGACACAGAGGCCGCCTACCCTTACGAAGCCAGGGTGAGTCAGTCCAGAGGTGAAGTAACTTATTAACAAACTCCACCTTGAATAATTTTGTTGAAAGCAACTTTTATTAATTATTGCTATTTTTCTAATGGCTTGTAATTATCTATTCTGCACGGCAAGACAGAATAGCAATATCAGAATGAATATCAATAATGGAAAGTATTATTTACATGTAGTTCTTATATTGCTTGTTCCTCTTCTCGCCTGAAAGGATGGATCTTGCCGCTTCGATTCTAACAGTGTTGCTGCCACCTGCTCCGGACACACAAACATCGCGTCTGGCAGTGAGACCGGCCTCCAGCAGGCAGTGAGAGATATTGGACCCATCTCTGTCACCATTGACGCCGCCCACAGCTCCTTCCAGTTCTACAGTAGCGGTGAGTACACACACACACACACACACATACACACACACACATACACACACACATGCACACACACATACACTAATCTTCACTATAGTAAAAATTAGACTTTAGTCAGCAAATACTGCACTGAATAATAATTAGTGTTGCATCACTGCACCACCCGTACCATGCCGGGGTGACAACAACACGCAAGAAGTGGTGGCGGGTTGATCCTACCACAGTAAATAACACAGGTGCCTAATTTGTGTGGTTGTACTCTAGGTGTGTACTATGAGCCAAGCTGCTCGCCTTCCTACCTGGACCACGCTGTACTGGCTGTTGGCTACGGCAGCGAGGGTGGCCAAGACTTCTGGCTCGTCAAGAACTCTTGGGCGACCAGTTGGGGTGATGCTGGGTACATCAAGATGTCTCGCAACAGGAACAACAACTGCGGTATTGCCACTGTCGCCTCCTACCCGTTGGTATAGAGGTGATGGCACTCTAGGTCACCAGGCCAGGGTGAATGGTGACTGCTGGTGCTGCTCCTCGGCATGAGACGCTCACCATGAACTCTGAGCCGTGAACATTTCTGTATATCTCTACGGTGACGTATTGTGTATAGTAGTAACCTACGATAATTTGAATACCAATAAAATTATCAGAATTTTTATTTATGAATTGTCATTATTCCTCCTATAAAGGGTAAGGGTAAGAGGTAATCTATCGAGTAATAAATCACCTAAAGATTAGACACCCCGACTTACCTCACATGATGATCAACACGTCAGGGTCCAGGAGGCAGAACCGACTGGTTAGATAAGGTTTCATCGGTTTGGTTTTTGCTCTTCAACCACGTATCTCGGTTATGGGTAAATTTAGAGAAACGTTTCATAGAATAAAAGCGTCTTATTTTTGTCTCAACCTATAACGAATAAAAGAAAAAACCGCCATTCTCTCCACTGATTATTTTTTTTAGTACTGTAGTTTTCTAAATTTCAACTCCGATATCTCGATTATGGGTAAAATGCACCAAAAGTGCCATAGATGAGAATCATTTTGTTTTTCCTGAAATTCTCATTAACAACAACAAAAAGGTATCTAAATATGTCCTTTACTATAACTGGACCAAGACAAGTTCCGTAGGTCTATACCTGTTGGCCACAAATGTTAACAGCCGGGAACCAGTCTTCTACAGCCGGACCTTCAGAAACTTGTGAAGGTTTCAGATGGTAAACAAAAATTCTTAGCCATAATAATATTAAACCATGAAATAACCATATAATTGGTTAGGTTTGATTAAGGTCATGTCAGGTCAGATTAGGTTAAGGGTATGTTAAGGTTACAGTAGGTTAGCGTTATGCATAAATAATTTTTGTATCCTTATTGTTACATTGTATAATTTACGATCCAAGAAACCTTATATTTTGTTTAATTTTGTAATATTTCAGTATGTTAAGAGTTGAAGACATTTTTTTTAGTAGGGTTCGATGTTTTTGGGGGGGTGGGGTGTTCAGAGAGCTTCGAGCACATGTCTCTGAGCTAATCTAAAGTTTTACACCACAGGGAAGAAACAAAAGAGCTGGTGGTTGGGAGAGGGGGGGGTGGTGGTTTTGTTGTGGAGCTGTGGTGTTTGTGGTGGCTGGTGTGGTGCCTGAGTCCTCCTCCGCCCTGAGCCCTGTCTGTGCTGCTGAGGAGTCGTGGCCGAGGATTGAACGACTAGTGTGTGTCTGAAGGTGTTGTGTGTTAAGGACTACTGCCGTGTTATAGTTGTGGGGGAGCGTGGCAAGACACCGCGGCTCCTGACAGTGACCATACCTCAGCAGCCGAGTCCTAGCTAAGTCCCTTTATTATGTTTTATTAGGGAATTGTTAATGTATTTCACTATTTAAACTATATTGGGTTATTATTCAGCAAACATCAGCTTACTAGCCAGTATTTGTGGAATAATTATTCATTAGGTGAGTACAATGACCCAAGTAGCTGGTTGGGTTAAGATAGGTTTGGTTAGGTTAGGTTTCTTATTCCACATTTTCCCAATACTTCGAAGTAGTGCCCACCAAGGTCAACATTAACAGGGTAGGAAGGGTCATTATGCAGTCACCAAACTATCGTTACCAGTACAGTACACCATTTTTCACTCTACACCGACGTTTTATCAATAAAATTCGCTTTAGTTGATGATTTTTGCGCCAATTAATTTGATTTCGACATTTTTTAGTTGAAAGGAGATATAATGTTTGAAACGACATAAATATTTCGACTTTAAAGGAAAGTTTCGGCATAGTGTATTAGATCACAAGGTCAAGGTCACAAGGTCAAGGTCACAAGGTCAAGGTCACAAGGTCAAGAGGTCAAAGTCACAAGTTCAAGATCACAAGCTCAAGGAATAAAAATATAACCTGTGTAATAGTTGGTCTCGTGACTCATCAGACAACCCGGGCGGTGATGACTAAGGCCAATGAAAACGTCGTCAAGAGTTTAAACATTTATTCATTCGTCAGTTTTCCGAGACAGTTTCCGGACGCCTCCAAGACTCTGAAGAGGAGAAGTAAATACATTACATCAGGATATAAATAATAGCATAGAATTTAACAGCTTAGTTCCTATTTTTGCACGAGAGAGAGAGAGAGAGAGAGAGAGAGAGAGAGAGAGGAGCACCTTACCGTAGATATAACCCAGAGTAAGCTACAGTTCTCCAGGTCCACCAGCTCCTTGAGCCTCAGACGGCCTCCTGTAGCCACGCATAGATCTCATTTCTTCAGGAGTCTGTCACGAACCCAAGAACGGTTAGCCACTGATACATACATGTCCAATATAAGAACTTAAGTCACACATTACTACACAATAGGATATACAGGGTGTTAATATGTACTTAAATTACACATTACTTAACGATAATGATAAAGTACAGGGTATAGATATGTACTTAAAGTAAATATGACTTCGTTTATCATATTACTTTACCATAGAATGATAAGTATATAGAACAATGGATCAGGTAATTACTTTTAATCTCTATACATGTACTTGTGTTTTGGACCGGAGTTAGTATTGTTGTTTTTGAGTCATTGGGGAGGTTGTTCTTGGATACCGAGTATAAATAACATACCATATCACTGAATTTGTTTATCTTCATCGTAAAGGTCACTTCACCCCTCTCATACTTGTTGTTGTGGTCCTCGATGTATTTGAGGTTGTCTTCGAAGATCCTCCTCCGTTGGTTGACCTCTTCCGTATCCTTGTACTGTTTGCCGAACTCAGTCTGTGGGAGTCAAAACACAAGTATATATGAACTATAACATGCCATACCATACCTCCATACCAAACCACCACCACGCCACACCATACTAAACCTGTGGGAGCCAATACTCACCTGCACTACATCACAACACCTGTCATACTGATAAGCAATTAATAAACATACCTTAAATTCATCCCAGGTGAGGGTGGCGGCAGCTAGAGTCATTCCACATAGGAAGATTATCAACGCCTTCATCTGAAATAAACAACAGGGAATCATATTGTGTGATATACTGGACATATATTAATACAGGACTTAATACAGAATATATACTCATACATTACAGGATATAGGTTGATACAGTACATAGTATTAATACTGAATTCTATGTATAGTTCCATTAATAAGAAATCTATGCTATTTTATCCCACCAAAAATTCACAGGTAATTACGCCTCATAGTAAACAAAATATTTACATTCTTAATAAAGAAAATAGTAGAATATTTTGAAAATCATTAAGAAATAAGAAGTTTTAGGAGATTTTTCTTATACAGTTGAATATATATTTTTACCTTGGAGTGTCTCTGTGTGTGTATGTGTGTGGCTGGGTATATATAGTCATGGGGTGGGAACCTGTACACCTGTGAGTGGTTGGACACACCCACCCACCCGACACACCAACCCCACCCCACCATAACCCTACCCTACCCCACCCCACCCCACCCCAACCCCACCACACCCAACCCTACCCTACCCTACCCTACCCCAACCCAACCCAACCACCCAACCCAACCGAACCCACCTCTGCATAATGACACTATTCCATCGACCACCTCACCAGACATTGACAACATACCAACCTTGACTTAACATTGTCACACCAACACGTAAAGTTGTGTGTCGTGTCATGAAGGAAGTTAGAAGAGAGACTGATCTATCCTTGAGTTATCTTACTGTATGTTAGATGTATAAATTTACCTTTGTATGTCCGGAGATAATCTTAGTGTTGGTTGGTTGCAGGTGAAGAGATATTCTGTACTGTATTGACTGTAATTTTTCACATGTTTGTAGTCATGTGTGAAATTAGGTTAGTGTCAGAAGTTGGTGTTAACGCCATCTGTTGTTGGGTGGAATTATTCGTTTGTATATGGGGGCGAGTTAATATGAGAACGAGTTTGTTATGGGGACGAATTTGTTATGGGGGTGAGTTAGTATGAGGGCAAGTTAGTATGGGGGCGAGTTAGTATGAGGGCAAGTTAGTATGAGGGCGAGTTTGTTATGGGGGCGAGTTTGTTATTAGGACGAGTTTGTTATGGGGCGAGTTAGTATGAGGGCAAGTTAGTATGGGGACGAGTTTGTTATGGGGGTGAGCTTGTTATGAGGGCGAGTTTGTTATGGGGACGAGTTTGTTATGGATGCGAGTTTGTTATGGGCGTCAGTTTGTTATGGGGGCGAGTTAGTATGAGGACGAGTTTGGTTTGTTATGGGGACGAGTTTGTTTTGTTATGGGGGCGAGTTTGTTATGGGGGCGAGTTTGGCGGGGGCGAGTTTGTTATGGGGCGAGTTAGTATGAGGACGAGTTTGTTATGGGGAAGAGTTTGTTATGGGGTGAGTTTGTTATGGGGGCGAGTTTGTTATGGGGACGAGTTTGTTATGGGGGCGAGTTTGTTATGGGGGTGAGTTTGTTATGGGGGCAAGTTTGTTATGGGGACGAGTTTGTTATGGGTGCGAGTTTGTATAAGGAGTTTGTATGGTAGCGAGTTTTTATGAGGGCTAACTCCGATAGTAACAGCTTATACTAACCTATACTGACCTACAGTGACCTGTACTTGTTTGCACTGGTAGATTTTTGTCCGAGCCTGACTCACTGCCGTAGCTCTTCATTATAAGTTAAAAAAAATCAATGAAGACGTTAGCTATTTTTTTTCTAGTTTGTATATATAAATTTGTGTTATATATATACTACCTTATGCTGTGTTATTATCCCAGTAGATGTATGTCCGTATGTCCTAAGGTTAATGGGAAAGACTCTTATCCCCTTGGCTGGAACGCTCTGGACACGCCCACAGCACGAGGTATGCGTGAGGGAGCCACCTGGCCACACCGACACCAGACGCATTCCATACTTCACAGTGGTAACACCAGTCCTTATCCATCTCTCTCATCACAGCCACTCATCAGGTTAGTCAGTGAGAGAGATATGTGTCTCATTATTAACGTGGTTTTAAGGATTATCCGTTGTTAATAGGTGAAGATTAGATATAGCATAATTATATAGGAAGATTCTTAATGGTGATATTGTAGTTTTAGATCAATAAGCTGCAAGTGAAGGTGAAACAAGGCGGAGTGCTGGAATGGAATAGGTGCTATTACTGGGCTTCTGGTATACTCGTGGCTGAGACAAAACATCTTACAGATAACCGTTCTTAGCAACACAAAGGCACAAGATGTTATTAGTAAGAGTGAGGAAACTACTACGTGTGACAGAATGAGTTTACGCAGGTGTGGTAGAATGAGTTTACGCAGGTGTGGTGGAATGAGTTTACGCAGGTGTGATAGAATGAGTTTACTCAGGTGTGGTGGAATGAGTTTACGCAGGTGTGGTGGAATGAGTTTACGCAGGTGTGATAGAATGAGTTTACGCAGGTGTGATGGAATGAGTTTACGCAGGTGTGATAGAATGAGTTTACGCAGGTGTGGTGAAAGGGGAGGTGTTGACAGCCGTTAGTACATGTTTCCTACCTTACTTAGCCTTTAAAGGTCGACTGTGTAAAAGTTCAGGTGTGTTAATATTTACCTTCGAGTAGAGAGATCAGTTGAAGATTAGATACCCCACTGTATTTCACCTGGAACAGCGGGAATCGATGAGAGAAGTGAAACTCTTATTCTGAAGCTCCAACATAGGTTTAGGTTGTGTTAAGGTGTTAATTTTAATCAGGTGTAATAAATTTGGGTTTTAGTCTTCATGTAATGAGAGAGAGAGAGAGAGAGAGAGAGAGAGAGAGAGAGAGAGAGAGGAATAATTCGATACTTTAATTCCTAATGAAAGACGAGAGAGAGAAAAGCAATAGGTTTAGAAATTCAATTGAGAAACAGGGAGCTGAGAAGGATGATAACAGGGAGACAGACAGAAACTAGAATAACAACAAAGGCAATAAAATATACAACAAAGACTCAGAAAATCAATGAACGAGACATAAAAAACAAAACAAGACCGAGAAGAACATTACGTCAGTACCAGGAGGAGAATGGGTGGGCGGGGTGGGTAAGTTTATCGTGTCAGCGGTGTTTGTTGACAACCTAAGCTCACCGCGTCTCCTAGCAACCAACCTTCTCCCACTTCCCTCCCTCATCCCTCCAGAACCCCCCACCACCTGTCAATATAGGACTATCATCACATTGATTGTTTCTCCTTATAACTGCTTTATATAGTTGCTTTTTTTATATATAATTACAGTTTATATAATAGGATGAAGTAAACGATATAATTTGACATATAAGAAGAGATGAGGTATTTTTTTTAGATTTTAATAGATTTTAAGGTGTAAAGCGTATGTAATGGTGGGCTGTGGTGGCCTTCCCTCAGATCTGATAATGTTACCTAAATTGATTGTTACCTTGAGACCCTAACTGTATACATACACTCTATCTAGACACAACCTAACACTCAAACATTAGACACACTCAAAAAATAGACACACTCAAACTTTGACCTTACTTTACCCTTTACCATAACCTAACCTAACCACTTCTCCTCTACAGTATGACTCACGAGGATAGCCTGAAGGAGGCATCTGAGGCGGCAGCAAATGAGGCTGGCACGCCCTTAGAGAAACTACAGAATCTTCTCCTTACTCGCGGATACACTGGTATTCTTCGATTCGGCAGGTGGGTGTTGGGGGGCTGTGTTGGGGGACTGTTGGGGGCTGTGTTGGGGGACTGTTGGGGGCTGTGTTGGGGCTGCATGGTGGCTGTGGTGGGTGTGTGTCGAGGGGTGTTGTGGGCTAAGTGGGGCTATGTTCAGCGTCTGCGTGGTAAAAACTCGTATCATGAGAGAGAGAGAGAGAGAGTATAGTTCATCTGACGTCATAAGACAGACAGGCATACAGGTATTCACAACAGTCTTACATTTCCCAGGATGTTTCGTATTGTTGATGACGATGAAAGCAGGACCTTGAACTTAGAGGAACTGGGCGAGGCGATCCATAATTTCGGCCTCGAGATTTCCGAGGACGAGGTGGGCGAGCTCTTCAGTGCCATGGACGAGGACGGCACTGGCACTGTTAACTACGAGGAGTTCCTTTCAAAGCTCAGGGTAATGGTGGTTATCGATAGTTGTTATTGTTAGTAGTAGTTGCTAGTAAGTAGTAATTGTGGTTGCAGTATTAGTGGGAATGGTGGATGTTAATAGTAGGTTAGGTTAGGTTATGGAAGGTTAAGTTAGGTTAGGTTATAGTAGGTTAGGTTAGTGAGAACACATTATAACCTGAAGTAAATTATGCTCCTGTCAACAGCCGGAGATGACTGAGGATCGTGTGGCGGTGGTGGAGGAGGCCTTTGGGGTCCTGGATGAGTCTGGGGACGGCCTGGTCACCCTCGAGGACGTGAAGGGCAAGTACGACGCCTCAGGTCACCCCAGTGTCCTCGCAGGGAGCGCCACAGAGGACGAAATTCTGCTCAAGTTCCTCGGCAGGTTTGAGGGCAACACCAAGCAGGATGGTCAGGTAAGGTGTGGGGGTGGGTTGGGGTGTGGGGGTGGGTTGGGGTGTGTGGGTGGGTTAGGGATTATATGTTGGTGAATGGGTGGGTGTGTGGTGTAATATTAATAATAATAATAACAATAATAATAAACAGTTTATTGAAAAAGTTACAGTAGACTAGAGGTTGAAAATATATAATTGACAAAAATGATTTCTTATATAAAGTGACATAAGATTCTCTCCAAGCTTGTTCCACTTGAAGATAAACCCCCCTAATGCTAACCTAACCTAACCTAACCTTCAGGTGAAATAAGCATGTGGTGAGTGAGGGAGGCAAGCATCAAGTGACCCAGAAAAATGCTTAGCTTATTTAATGTAAGTCTTGTATTAGTTAGTCATCTCTTTTCACCCACTTCACCCTTCTTCCACAGGTGACCAAAGAAGAGTTCCTAGACTACTATTCAAGCATCAGCAAGTCTATAGATGAGGACGAGTACTTTATTGAGGTTATCAAGAAATCCTGGAAACTGTAATTTGATCCAGGAACACAGTCTGAGGGTCGGTGGTCTACTGCAGGGGAAGAGTTAAGGTAGTACATGGCTAGAGGTGGAAGAGATGTCTGTGTTGGCTGCTGGAAGAATCTGAAGTCTTGTGGTAAGGTCTGAGGGCGTAATGGTTATATGAATGTCTTTCCTGTTTGAGTAATGTCGATTTCAGGAAACACATTTAGAAAGATGTAAAGAAATATCGTAAGGAAAGTTGTCTTACACGAGGGGAAGAATGTGATGAAGAACAATTGAGGAATGATTTAAAACCGTAGGATATCAGAGAATGTGAGCATAGGATTTACACAGTCTGAACAATATCATGAGAAAGGAACACCGAAAGTATCAAAAGCTAAAGATCTTAAATTACTGATGGCTGAGCAAGAAGTCCAACCTACGACAACAGACTGTAAAGACACGAACACTGAAGACAGGACAAGCGCACGTAAACAAAATCGAGGGACATATAAAAGGATTGTAGATTACTGGTGACTCTTAGGGGGTAATAATTATGGGAGAGTAATAATAAACTAGCAATATAATAAGGGAGAGGAAGGCTATAAAAGGGTGTATAAGGGTGTATAAGGGTGTCAGGTACAGTGTATGGATGATGGTGTGGACTAATGAAGTTGTAAGGAATGTAAGTGTTTATAGGCAACTGGAGACCGAGTATGGAGATCCAGGTTTTGAGGGCCATAATCTTTCGGAGATCAATTAGTATGAAGATCGGAGACTGGTCGAGGGCTATATGCTGTACTGGAGACCGAGTATGTATGTTTGGGAGAATGAGACTCAAAGGCTACGAGAAACAGAGTATGGAGACAGTAGACTTCAGGAGAGTTAATTTGGAGGCAGTAGACTTAACAAAAAATAGAATGGAGACAGTATAGAGACCGTGAACTATCAAGAAACGATGAGATGGTTATGGTCGAGGTGTCTATTTAACATGTGTCTGTGTCTTGATCTAGTTAATGTTGACCTGTTTACCAGCACTAACGCTTCCATCAGCTGAGTACACACACACCACACCACACACACCACACACACACACACACCCACACACACACACACACACACACACACACCCCGCAAGTTCAAGCATTCAATTCTTTTCTGCACTAAATGATAAAATGTTTTCTGTCATTAAGGGAAGGTAATTACGTAGTTGTGATAAGAGAAAATGTATTCAAGAGGTCGAGGAGCAGCCAGAAGGGTGAGGCCAAGTCCTTTGTGTTGGTTATCGTAGTAGTTAAAGTACCTTTGTGTATGCCCTTAGAATACTTACAGTACGTTCAAGCTTGCCATATATTGTTCAAATTTACAATATCTTCTGTTTAATTAAAAATATCTTAAGATGCAATGTGTATAGACTTACGATACTTTGTTTAGACTTAGGCATACGTTCAGATTTTCCTAAATGCTAAATAACAAAAACTACGACTTATACAACGCTACATTCACACCCCATAATGCTTACTGCCCCAAGCTTACGATGCCTTGAATTGAAACCTACAATACTTGACAATACTTTCTTCCATTACATTTTATTCTGAGGCGTAAGAGTACTATATTTTAACTCTCTTTATATGTATATTATGAAGGAGGAAAGTTATGGAATGTAATTTTCACTTTAGGCTTGCATAATAATCGTGTATAATTCGTATTCATTAGTATTCACGCCTCCTGGGTTATCTTTAGTTATCTTAAGCACTTAGTGTATGTGAAGTAAACCTGGCTTTATAAAGATAGGAGTTATTAATCTCCTGGAAAATAATTTCTCAATGTTTGTTAATGTCTCTTATGTGGAATAAAGTTCTTAGAGGAAAAAGGTTATGTGATTTAACCCCAAGATTCTATGTGGTAATGAGATCTGGTACTTGGCATATGTCAGGTCTAGTACTCGACACATGATAGGTCTGGTAGTCGACACATGATAGGTTTGGTATTCGAGATATGCCAGGTCTGGTACTCGACACATGATAGGTCTGGTACTCGACACATGATAGGTTTGGTATTCGACATATGCCAGGTCTGGTACTCGACACATGTCAGGTCTGGTACTCGATGTACTGGCCACGGTCATACATGTTAGTTAACGTAAATTCAGACGATTCATATTACGCTCAATGGCCCACAAAACATGTAGCTATGCCTTCTTTATTGAGTCCTCCCGTTGAGACGTACATTCTCTCACCGTTTTCTCTCAAGTAGTACCTCCGAGACTCTGATATTTCTTAATACCTCATAACGTGTTCAGAGATTTGAAATTGAGAGAGAACTCAATTGTTTTGCGTTAAATTATATATCTCTGATTACAGATGAAACATAGAGTCTGCCAGTAGAAGTGACGAAGCCCTAACATTGCCTGTAGGGACGCTGAGTGCCAAACTGATACTGAAGTTAGATCATTTTGATTCCCACTCATCAGAAAATCTGATGTTTGTATTGAAATTGTTGTCAGTTGTATATTTTAGAAAATAATTAATCTCCTGCAAAGAATGTCAGTCTTCTTATCTCCAAGATCTAACGGCACACTCTCAGTGGGCTCCTGTCGAAAAATTTTGAGGAGGTTGCAAGAAAACGTTACCATTTTAGCGTTTAACGTCCATTTCAATATTGCCTGATAAGAAGATAAAGTAATAAGCATACAGAAATAAAGACTTAGAAACATAGAGAAACTAAGATAATATAATAGAAAAGAAAAAAGAAAATATAAAATATAATGATATAAAAGAAAAATATCTCCTCTTACACAGATATATTAATGTAATAATACCAAAAGAGAGGAAATGAAAAGAAAATAGTAAAATTCCCCCCTTACATCGACACATGATAGGTCTGTTACTCGACACATGATAGGTCTGGTATTCGACACATGCCAGGTTTGGTACTCAACATATCCCAGGTCTAGTAGTCGACATCTGCCAGAGTCTTGGTGAGTGGTTGAGGTCACCTGACATTTTCAGAGAACTTCATCACCAGCAGACAGCCAGGAACTAATCCTAAATGAGTCTTACACCATCCGCCAGTGGAGTGAACATTGGTACCTGGTGATAGTCATTGACCCGTAGATGAAAAGGGAAATGCAAAAACTTCAATAAACATCTTTTACTTTATAATTGCAATCACCATTGTTCAACCACCGACGATGTTAATGCAGTATCTTAAATTATCTTCCCAAGTGAAATATTTTGGTTTTTTCAGAAACAAAGGAGCAGTTCCAAGCTCAGAGATTTTAAGAAGATAACAGTGGAAACACATTATATAAGTGAAGTGTCCTGGGTCAGTAATGTACTGTTATGACACGACTTCTTGTCTCTTGTTGATGCAATGTAAACCTGGGTGACAAAATACTGCATAAAAACAACATTAAGAGGTTGTCAAGAAGATTGTGTTAATAATGACAATAAATATATACTTAAATGACACTTATTAAACATTGAGAAATCGTATGACCGCTGGCAACATCAGGTGTAGGAGAGGTTGGAGCTATAATTTCTCATATCAACATAAAAATAATCAATATAATTCCTAGTTATGAGATGTTCTCGAGGTAAGAAACATCTTTATTTCTTTACAAACAGTCTCTAAGATATGAAGCTAAGATACACGGGAGAACTTAAAGACAAATAGAGAATAGTAGTTAGTATTAGTAGTGGCATGTTTGTCCACCTCGATCCTCCCACATATTGTTCTTGAGATTTATTAAGTTATCCAGATAATTCTGTTCTCTCTTATTGGTCTTCACTTAGAGAAAACGATTACCTGGTTTCCTTAACTTTAGACAAAACCTAAGTTGATTTATGGAACAGAAGTGTAATTTTCACCGGTAAATAAATCACCTAAACTTGGATATGGGAATTATTATTTTTTTTTAATTATACAAGACAGAAATATATAGGCGGAATCAAGAGACAGGAGCAGCCATATTATTTCCTTTGCAATCACTCATTCTATCTTACTGCAGCAATAGAATATGTTCGTTCTACTGTGACATTCACCTTCCACAAGTCCTTAAATATCTATCTGGTTTATTCTCGTCACTCCAGCACCGCCAGCTAGCAGCACGACCATCCCTATACACAACTCTGCTCCACGCTACTCCATCACCCTCCTGGTTGTCTGTCTTCCTCCTCCAGTGGCGTTTGATGCATTTGAACCCTGATACTAGTTTAATTTTGGATCCAATTTTCCATATATTTTTATTAACAATACAAGTACAGGTATAATACAGCATACGTTTACACGGTCTTAGGCTAACTGAGAACCAAACTGACGCCGGACCTACATCCTCCCTCCCTCCTGTGTGGTCTTGTTCTCCCTGATGCTGGACCTACACCCAACTTCTTGCGCTACAGTAGAGAGACTCGTCTGCAGGGATAAGGAGAGTCCTGTCTATCCGTGCTGACATTTGCCGGATTTTATATCAACTACGTGACTCCCAATACGATATAGCCACCAATAAATTTTTAATTCAAGGTTCTCAAAGTTAAAAGTCTCCTACACTTCCATATTGTAACAAAATAAAGATAATAATTTTTACCTCCTTTGTATCATATCTAGAAGGAATTATCTTGTTTCTGTCTCACAAAATTGACAGTTGATAAGGTGATCACTTAGAAACTAACGTGTGTCCTGGGTTCAGTCTACGCCGCGGCCCGAGTCTGAAGTGAGGAGGTGTTTTCCAGTGACTACCAAACATCACAAGTTTCCTGCACGTACTCAAGTCTCCTACTGTATAATTCTTATTCCTGTGTCCTATTTCAGTCACATATAAAACAAGAACTCCTCATAGTATAATTTACAAGTCAAACTAGCAGTTGGAGCAGTCAGTGGTGTTGGTAGTTTGGTCAAAGTTCTGTGTCGTGGGCTGAGTCAGCTCCCTCCAGCGGCAGTGCACAGTTTAAAGTGATACAGTAAGGTGGACTGTACCTGTGTTAACAAGATACCATAAGATACGTAATAGGATGGATTATATAGTCATTGTGAGCGTCTATGATTCTGGTAAGTGTTTGTGTGGTTTGTTTGCGGTTTGTTTATGTTTATAAGAACATACGAATGGAGGAAACTGCAGCGGGCCTATTGGCCCAAACTGGGCAATACCATTTACACCCAACCCCTATCGCTCATATATCCATCCAACCTATGTTTGAAGCTATATAGCATATTCGAGTTAATGATGATGTTTGGTAACTTGTTCCACTCGTCCACTACTCTATTTCCAAACCAAAGTTTACTTATTTCGCGCCTGGTTGGATAGTTTGAGTACCTTTGTAATGTCCCATTTGTTTAGCCCTGACTTCCATTTATGCACCTCTATCATATCGCCCCTCACTCTACGTCTCTCGAGGGAGTGCAAATTAAGATGCTTTAGCCTGTCTCTATACCCAAGGTTCCTAATGCCCGGGATTAGTCTTGTCATTCTCCCCTGAATTCTTTCTAGGGATTCTATATCCATTCTGTAATACGGTGACCAGAATTGAACTGCGTAATACAAGTAAGGTCTAATAAGCGCAAGATGTAGTTTTAGGATGACCTCTCTAGTCTTGTAACTAACACTCCTTTGTAAGAACCCAAGTACTTTATTAACCAAATCTGTTCTACTGTATCCTTACCAAACTTGCCCTAACTTCACTTACCCTAACCTCACTTGCCCTAACCTCACTTGCCCTAACCCCACCTCCCCTAATCTCACTTCCCCAAACTTAACCCGAATACCGCGAATTATTTGTTTATGCTACACACGTCACGTCACCATTGGAATAAGTCAGACTAAATCAGGTTCATATTAGTTAGAACATTTCGTGTAAATATTAATCCAGTCCCACGTAACCAAATTATTGCCAGCCCAAAACGAATTAGTTCCCGTACAAAATGATTTAAGCTACACTCTTAATTATGCATGCAGCGTGGGTATAAAATGTAGTTAGGTTGCATACAAAATAAG